AATTTATAAATTTTTAAAATTTAACACTTAAGGTTCAAGTTAAATTAACTGATCCTTCATTCTCCCTTAGATTTGGCTATCACTGTCATGGCACTTAGTCACCGGACCGGCACGTTTGTGGTTACGGGTCTTGCAATAGAGCCGTGGAAATTTCGGAAAGTGAGGTAGCGTCACGTGCTCTACCAGCGCGTCAACATTTTTGCCTAGAAAGTAGCAGCACGCTCCACTAATTCTGATGAAGCGTGGACCGACTCCAATTGGTGAATTTTTCCATGATGGTGGGCCCCACTTCGGATGACCTGTCAACAGCGTTCAGCGGCGAGCCTACCGCCACGTGTCGGTTGAACTAGATCCCATTGCATATTTGCGATTAGGACTCCGTGACCGTGCTCCTCCGTACGGGCACGTGAAATTCTTCGATAATCCACCTTCCCGATCGACAGCCCAGCGGCCATTTATGCCTCGTCCCACTTTTACATTTCCGAAATTTACAGCTCTTATTTATTTATAAAAAAATATACAAGTCCTTGTGGTTTTCCTTGATTTTAAATTAAGCTTTGTAATTTATTTTATTTTAATTAAGTATGTTAAGTTTTGAGTTATAAAATTCATGTAATAATTATATATGTTAGTTTTAAAAGTTAAAATTATTAATGAGTGATTAATTTTTCCAGGACAAAAATGATTTTAAAATATATAAAAAATTTGATCAAATATTCTTGAAAAAAAAATATTTTAATATAATGTTTACACTTTTATTTTTTTTATGAGAAGTCTGTATATATAAAAGTTATTTAGAAGATATAAGCTAATTATATAATTTTAAGATATAAAAAAGTTAATAAAAATATAAAACTACTTAATTTCATTTTTAAAATAAAAAAATCAATGATTTTAAATTTTAGGAATTAACATATTTAATTGATCAAGCTATAATGATTTGATTAAAACAAAATAAAGAAATAAGGACTTAGTTCAAAATTGAAGAAGGCTATCCGATCTTATTCAGGAAACCAAGTTGGTCTTGGTGATCAGGCCAAGCTAGACCTTGAATTTAGTCTAAACTCAATTTTACCTAGCTTGGTATGTATATGTATGTTTATATTATTATAATTTTTGTTAGTATAGAGTGATTTTATGATATTGCTTTTAATTTTCCTAGATCATACTTAGTAAATTACTTTGTTGTTATTATAAAAACTTTTAAGAAGTCAATATATTATTTTTAGGATCATTGTATTACCGTATGAATCAATAAGGCAATGCAGGTATAGCAATTAAAATTTCTATATTTAAAAATATGCATTGTATAATTACACATTAAAATATATTCAAAGTAAATATTATTTAATCTTTTTATTGTGTGAGACTTTGAATCTTTACAGATATTCAGGATAATCTCATATCGTGTAAATCAATAAAATTTTATAGATATAAGAGCAAAACTTATATGTTAATATGGGTTCTAAAGGCCCACTATTAAAATTAACTTTCTTTTTATAATCTAAATTAATAATTTATTTAAATCTCATGTGAGATTTTAAGAATTTTTATAGAAACTTAAATTAATCACATTATCGTGTGGGATAATAAGTCCTCACAGATATAGTGATTCTCAATCTCTATAGTAGATAAGTGATTTTTGTAAATAATCATATAATACATAATTTAAGAAAATTAATTAGCTAAATTAATGTATTTAAATTATAACTACATTTACCGATTACATCTTTTAGTCATGTGAGATCTTTGAATCTTCGTAGGCTTTTAAGATCATCGTATTATTGTATAAGTCAATAAGACTCTGCAGATATAACGATTAAATTTTTTTACAAAAATATATATAAATTATATATATTAAAATTAATTAAATCAAAAATTTATTTAAATAAATTTAATTATTTTATCGTGTGAGATTTTAAAATCTCCACAGATATTTAGTATACTCATATTACCATATAAGTTAATAAGATTTTGTAAGTATAATGATTAAAATTCTTTAAATATATATATATATATATATGCTTAAAAAAATAAATTAAATTGTTAAACTTTTTTATCGTGTGAGATTTTAGAATCTCCACAGATATTTAGAATGACTGCATTATCATATAAGCCAATAAGGCTTTGCAGGTATAGCAGTTAAATTCCCAATCATAAACATAAAAAAAATAATAATTTTAAATTCTTTTCTTTCTTTATTCCAAAAATTTAAAAATTAAGAAAATAATTGAAATTAAATTACTTTCTGTAATTTAAAACACACATCAAAATTTTAAAAATTATTTTATTTGTAAAATGATAAATTATTTCTAATTAATTTCTTTTCAAAAAATATTTTCACCAACAACTTTTAAGCCCGAACTCCGTGGACTTTGATCCTCATCACAAGATACGTAGGCCTCAGAGTCTGATTATGAGTCAAGTCCTCCCTCGTAAAGAAATAAATATTTCTCACATAATTCTTATTATTTTTATATCAAATACATGAATATAAAAGGAATAATTAAAATAATTTTAAAATTATATTAATGTAGCACAACAAACTTCAAGTAACCGTGTGGACGAATAGATGTTGTGGGGTGCCTAACACTTTCCTCACACTCAATCAACTTCCGAACCTATTTTCTATTTTCGCAAACCATCCTTATCCTTCTTTAATTGGTTTTTCAAGATTTCCTTCAAAATCTCAATGATGACTTCTCATTCTATCCCCCACCGCAAAGGCTTCGCTCATGCGCTGTCTGCGTTGTATTTTTTGGGTGTGACAATCATAACAACCATGTCAACAAACTTTATTTTACTAAATGAGATCAACTACGCAATTTCAAGATGTTATTATGCTTTTTGGAAATTATGATTATCCAAGAAAATACCTGACAAATCCATTTTCACTCAGAAGGAAATCAAAGGAGCATGCAATTGAACCAAATGAGTCACGAGGTACACTCTTACATCAAAAATCAATTGTTAGTTAAAAATTCATATACAGGCAAGCATGCTGTGCGCTCAATAAATCTTGGATTCAAGATCAACTATTTATCCATTACTTGAAAATAATCTGCACAGACAATTATCTCTAATATGTGATAGAATCATTCCCCAATTCTATGGCATCCAAATCCAATCAGATAGAGTGCTATTTATATATATATATATATATATATCTACGCACGCACATTTCAGCAAAAATGTCTAGTTATAGATAATCTTAAATGGTTCCCATATATTCACGCATCAATCTGAGTGACTGAATCGTAGCACGTGATTTGTTGCCATTTGAAGCACCCTTCTGTTTTTTTGGCAGCAAAACTGGAAAGGACAGCGAGGAATCATCAATTATTCATGGTTTTTTATGGCAGTAACAATTCATTCATTATTGTCAATTTTTATTTAGTTGCCCGAAAGAAATGCAATGCCTATCCTCTTGCTCGAAAGAAGGGGGGAAAAAATCCTATCCTCAAATAAACGGGAAACCGGCACAGCAAATTACCCTGCTACCACCGAGAGACAAAGTGGGTCCCGCTCATCAGATTCCTTCCCCATGAGATTATTAGTTTCCTAAAATCTCTCAAACGGCCACCCCCAATTCCACCATTTTATATTTTTCACCCCATAATTTTCAGAAATGTTACAAAAGGCAAAGAAATAAAAAGCTTAATATTTTATAATTTGAACAATTTACATTAAATAAATTGTCATGCGAATCTATGGACATTATAATTATTTTGGGAAATATTTTTTAATTTATGTATAGTAAGTAAAGCAAATGATACCAAAAAGACAAATATGACAATAATTTATCGTTTCCATGAGTATTTAGAATTTAGCTAATGTGTCTGTAGAAATTCTGGTAATGTAATACGTTAGATATGCTCTATCAATAAAACATGTTATGCTGTACCATTTCAATCAAATAAAATTTTATATATAATTATTTTTAATAATTTTATTTTTATCTTTTCTCTCCCTATCATCATTAATGACATAATTAATTTATATTTACACTTACTTAATTACTTAATATGATGTTTTTATTAGATAAAACAGAAATGATGCAATACATAGTAAGAATTTCTTCTCTATTAGTATTTTTACATAGAGATAGATGGGGATATTGACTTATAAATATTTTTATATGACAAAAAAATTAAAAAATGGAGAATGATAAGTAAGAACTTTATAAAAATATTAATATCAAATTGAGAATTTTAATATTGAAATATGATAAAAGAAGTATTGAAATTTAAAAATGTTAATGCTGAAAATATTACTCCCTTCGTCTCAAATTAGATGAAACTTTTGAAAGAGTTTCTCTATTCTAAAATATAAAAGATTTTGAGTAGATTAATATTTCATTAAATACACTAATTTTAATATTATTCTTTCTCTTCGCATAATTAATTTTCATCACTTCTCTTTTGAATATATTAAATGATATGTATTTTAAAAATTTAATATTTTTATTTTAAAAAGATAAAATTATTAAATATATTTAATGAGGTTTATTGATATGTAAAATTTTATCTAAATGTGTTTTATAATTTGACATGAAAGAAGTAATTTGACATTAATGTACAAGGAAACAAATTGCTGGTTGCATAGGCTGCAATTGTAACTGTAGTCTATAGACTTTGTTTGAAAGAAATAATTTTCATAATCGCAATTTCACATATTATTTTATGGGTAGATATAAATTTTAATTTCTATACTTTATTCATATTTTATTTTTAATTTTTTTAATATTTTAAATATTTATATTTATATTTTTTATTATTTTTAATCTCTCTGTAAACAGAGTATAGATATTTTAAAAAAATAAAAGTATAAAGTTTAAAATACTGAAAAATATAAAAATTAAAAATAAAATGAGAATAAAGTACAATAACCAAAAAATTATGTTTCGCTTTGTTTTATATTTCCAAGTACGGGGCGGCACTATAAAAACCTGTGCAGGATTTGGCTTCGCGCACACCTCATGTATTGAATCTAAAGAACGCAGAGAGAGAGAGAGAGAGAGAGAGAGAGAGAGAGAGAGTCTCTGCTCAAGGGAGAGAGACACTAGCTGTGAAGACCTTTCTGGGAAGACTTTCGTTTCTGGCTTTCTGCGATGTCTCTGCTTACAGATCTCATCAACCTTAACCTCTCGGAGGCCACGGAGAAGGTGATCGCTGAGTACATATGGTATGTCTGCTTTATCTCTTTCCTGTACGTGCTCGCCAGTTTGTTCGTCGTTTTCTTGATTGATCACCCCCTGTTCTCTGTTTTAATCTTCGAAACGTTGTTTTCACTACGTGCACCTACTTACTTACCCTCTGAGAAAACAAAGCTGGGAAAAAGAAATACGTTTTGGAGAAGAAAAACGGTGATTTAGTTATATGATTGTGAGTGTTGATCTTTTGAAGTTTTATTAAATTGAGCTGAACAGAAGGGGGAAGACCATTTGTTCTGCTTGATGTTTCCCCTGTTCCTTTTTGGTATGAGCTTACTCTGATCTCTTGTTTGATTTTCTATTCAGTTTTCTGCTCTCGATGAATAGGTTTCTGAGATATTTTTTGTGCCGTTTGTTTTCACACAATAATCTAGTTCTTTTCCTGTTTCTTGACGAGAATCTCAACTAACACAGTAATGACTTAAATCAACGCTGATTTCTTCTCTGCTTCCTTCTCATCTAACTCCTCTGTTCACCTAACGCACTTTCCCACTATTTTTTCACCGACCTCGCATTAATTATTCCTGATCCCCTCGTGATATTTTAGGATCGGCGGATCTGGTATGGACCTAAGGAGCAAAGCAAGGGTAATTTAGTAATTGAATCTCCTAACCTTGATTCATTGAAACGTAATTGCTTTGATATTGTTTTGGTTTACTCATACAAATATAAAATGTTTTTGGGATATATAGACTCTCCCAGGACCAGTTAGTGATGCTTCAAAGCTTCCTAAGTGGAATTATGATGGTTCTAGCACAGGTCAAGCTCCTGGAGATGACAGTGAAGTTATCTTATAGTAAGCATTTTTTAATAAACTGACTGACTGGGATATTTTTTTTTATGAAAATAAGTAATTTTAAGTAAAATGACTTGGATTTTATTTCTAATTTCGATATTGATTTTTGCCCACCAACAGCCCGCAAGCAATTTTCAGAGATCCATTTAGAAGGGGTAAAAATATCTTGGTAGGTTCTGACTTTTTAACAGCTTTTGCCCTATTTAGATTATATTGTTTTCTTTATGTTGATGAATGGCTTTGAACGATAGGTTATATGTGATGCATACACTCCTGCTGGAGAACCTATTCCCACAAACAAGAGACACGCAGCTGCAAAAATATTTAGTCACCCAGATGTCGTTGCCGAAGAACCCTGGTATTATTTGTATTTTAATGTTTGTATCGGATGAATATTTTGGCTTGTAACTTAATGTCTTCAATTACTCTATCCCTTATGTTTCATTTGTAAACAGGTATGGAATTGAGCAGGAATACACCTTGTTGCAGAAAGATGTCAACTGGCCTCTTGGATGGCCTGTTGGTGGCTTCCCTGGACCTCAGGTGAAAATCCTCTTCCCTTAATAGTTGCCACTTACTTTGTACATTCATGTTCAGCTCAATCATGCACACTTTTCTGCAGCAAGATATTCAGCTTAATCAGTCTTCATTTTTTTTTTCCTGGTCTTTTAAATTTTTGCCTATGTACTTTGTTCTAGTACAAGTAGGAATTACTTAAATCTAAGTAATAAAGACCAACGCAAGTGGTAATATCCTCATAAGCTACTTGAAAGAACTCTCAGTCCATATAATTGCTATGTGAACAACGCTACTTTTACACGTCACAACCTAATATTCCTTTTTTCTTATTTAATCATGTCACATTATATTATATTTATATTAAATTACATGAATAGAGGATCTAGGGTGAATGTTGATGTTTTGTTTGTTCTTCACATGTCTCTCTCATTGTACCAGGGACCATATTATTGTGGTGCTGGTGCGGACAAGGCTTTTGGTCGTGACATTGTGGATGCGCATTACAAAGGCTGCCTATACGCTGGAATCAACATCAGTGGAATCAATGGAGAAGTCATGCCTGGACAAGTATATTACAACTTTCCACTTCTCGTTATCTTATTCTTCTTACTTGTTCAACAAATCTTTGTCATCTTTGTCATTTCCTTACATTTCAATATGTTTGTGCAGTGGGAGTTCCAAGTTGGTCCTGCAGTTGGCATCTCTGCTGGTGACGAATTGTGGTGTGCTCGTTACATCTTGGAGGTACCTCATGGCTACCATTTAAAATACCACAAAAGAAGAAAAAATGTGCTTGTACAGAAGAGGAAATTCTTGTTTTACCATTGGATTACTTAACAGATTATTAATTGACTGGGCCTAGAGATTAAATTGTTAGCTTATCCTTCTGCTAAAAGTATCTCAATCAACGTGTCTATTTCTTGGTAACAGAGGATCTGTGAGATTGCTGGAGTGGTGGTTTCCTTTGACCCCAAGCCAATTCCGGTATAAAAAGCTTTCCTATTTGAGTTTAAAATGTTTTGGTTTATCGATTCATGCCCTATTTTGACATTTCTCTTTTGGGTTTTTACCAAACAGGGTGACTGGAACGGAGCTGGTGCTCACACAAATTACAGGTAAAACTTTGATTTGATGTTATGGAAGGATTATTTGTATGAAGTTCATTTTCATTTTGTTTTCGTCATGCATGACAAGTGTTTGATGATATGCCAGTACTAAGTCCATGAGGAATGAGGGAGGATACGAAGTCATCAAGAAGGCAATTGAGAAGCTGGGCAAGAAGCACAAGGAGCACATCGCTGCATATGGTGAAGGCAATGAACGTCGTCTCACAGGAAAGCACGAGACCGCCAACATCGAAACTTTCATATGGGTAAGATTTTAGTTTTTGCATTGGGCACATTTTTGTACTCTATTTGTTCTCATGTACAGTTATTTTCTAGAAGTTTATTTTCTCTCTAAATATAAGGGGTATCATGATATATTTGAGTAATTGGGCAATTTTGTCCCTGTAAATATTGAGTATCTCTTTATAGCATATTACATCTTTTGCAATAGTGTACTTAAAAATATGTCACTACTATGGTAAATTGGAATTGAACAGGGTGTTGCCAACCGTGGGGCATCAATTAGAGTTGGTAGGGACACAGAGAAAGCAGGAAAGGGTTACTTTGAGGACAGGAGGCCAGCTTCGAACATGGACCCATACGTGGTGACTTCCATGATTGCGGACACAACCATTCTCTGGAAACCATGAAGACTCAGAGAAATCCTTCCTTGATATTACCGTTTGCTCTCATTCTCTATTGTTATATTTGGTCAGCTTAATTCTACTAGGTGGTCTTGTGTAGGATGATGATTAGCAATCTTCCTGTGGTTCGTTTGCTGTTTGGCTTGCTGGGCATTGTTTGATTCACGGGACCGAAGCAAGTGTATTGCTCCTTCCAATTCTCTCATTGTCACTCTAAACGTTCTGCAATAATGTACTGGTCTCTTTTTTTTAAGGTGTTGTTATCATTGATAATAAATATATGATACTGTCAAGCCCATGGCATGGCAAATTGGCAATGGTCTTCCTGTTATACTTTGTCGGGGTGAATAGGGAAAATGGGATAATAGAAAATGGAAGGGAGAGAAAAAATTGAGGGGAAATATTTTTTTAGTCTTTGAATTAACAAGAGAAAGAGTAGAGAGAATAAAAAAAAATTAATCTCACAATGACTGTAATACTTGTGAAAAAATTGTATTCCTATAAGTTTTATTAGGAAACATTGTTTTCTCTCCAAAAGTTCTTGATTCTTGAAACAAAAAATTGAAGAGAAAATTATTTTAGGTTTCAGATCTCTTTCTATAATTTTCTTCCTTTCCTCTCTTACTTCGTCAATTTGTCTTCTCGCTGTCTCCCTCCCTATTTTATGGAGCCGCTTGGATGCCCTCCCTCGATCATTTGTTCCCTGAATTGACAGTGACATGTTGATAAAATCGTAGGTACTGTTTGGCATGTAGTACTGGGATTGAAATTAGGTAATACTAACTTTTCATGTTTAGTATGAGAAAATGAGAAGTCCAATTTCAATGCCAATCATATCCTACATGGGATTATTGAGCACCACCACCACTAGTTTTAGAAAATCAGTTATGGGATTAAATATTTTTTAGACTAAATTGCTCTCCGTCCATCCCTTTCTTGCCTTTCCCTCTGCCATCATTTTATCTCCTTGCTCCCTTGGTGATGTCTTGCTGATGTCCTCCAAGGCCCCCATCTTTGGTCATTATATGTCCTCCATCTCCGCTGGCAGCCTTCTCCATCTCCTTTCTTAAGTAGAGCATCAGACTGATAAGTCTAACCAAAAAATTGATGATTTGTCAAACCAGAAAAAGAAAATTGCACACCAGCGATAAACATCAAACACAACGAGGAAAAAAAGTTCTGCCATTGAAATGGGACAAAAATCCAAAAATAACGAAACTGAACAAATCCATAACTGAAAAATATCAAAACAAGTCCTTTTCTTTGGACAACAGGATACTTTCATTCCAATCTTCAGAAACTGAAAATTGCTCTCACTAATTTGTTAGTAACTCCAAAATCATGGTAACTTAGAATCAATCCAATTAAGTTACCAAATTCAAAATATTTATATAAATGGAATCCCAAGTTTAAAAACTTAAATAAGTATTCAAATATCATTTTTCAATTAAAATCATAATAGAATATAAATACAGAAGCAAGTGATATCAAAAAGAGTTGAAAAATTGCATTTTCCTTCAAAAAAAAAATGACCTCACCAAGAAATAGGGGGTGCGCTGTGGCATGAGTTCAGTGCGCCACAGCACACTTCTCACTATGCAATGCACAGCGGCGCATCGAACCGATTGTTAGGTTTTGATAACAGCAAGGGTGAATTTTGGACTCACCTTATTTTTCTGTCCGACATTCAATTGAGACGATTTAGGTATCCACAAAAAGTTCTTTTCAAGATCTAGCTAATGGCATAGGCTTTACTTCCAAAAGATTTCACACAAAGGAGTTGGATACCTAAACACATTTTTAACTCTTTTCACACTTTTTTTAACAAAAAGGGTGTCTAAAACCTACATTCAAGTGCTAAAGCCATACTTTTTATCTAGATCGTATTCAATAGACTCAAGATCATCTATGCAACACACCACATTCAAATAATAACATTCAATTCACATTTTCAAGCCTCAATCCCTTAATAACAAATATAAAGGGGGAGGTCATTCATTTGCGTTAAATCAATTCCTTTGCACATAAGTAATATATATCATCTTTATACTTGCACTAGTATTTTGGCCTTATAATAATCAAAACACGCGCGCACGCACACACACACACACACACACACACACACTTTTCCTAGGGCCTAAAATACAATGTCCAATCATAATCACCCATTTAGTGCAAGTATATGCAAAATGCCCTCTAGTTGGTGATATTTTCTAATTACACAAAAGAAGCAAATAGAGGAAGTTTTTATAGTAGGAACAATGAAATTCCTAAACCCCTAATGCTTTTTCCTTTTTTGCACCTGAACTAGAACTTGTAAAATGTTGAAAGAGAGAAATGAGTACAATCATACAGTAACCAAAGTACGTCTATATTATGCGATTGTATATTAATTGACAATAAAATATATGCAACATTTATAAACACTCCAATTTGGAATATTGCAAAAAAATTCACTTCTTATCCATGCTAGTTCAAACAATCATAACATCTCATTCTCATATTACTGACAATACATGTTGCCACATATTGACAACCAAATAATAATATTATCAACCATTATCTTAACTTGTCACAAACTTAATAATCATGTGATACGTTGGATAAAAATGCATGATCTAACCATCCTTATATCCTCCTTATGCTCCTAACTAATTGTGAGAAGTGACTTGACCAAAAATCCCTATACTCACTCTCAAGCCATGGCTTTTCCCATTCTTGAATCCCTAGAGTGTTGTAAATCCTAGCTAATCTCTTTGATAAATTGGTGAAGTTAGTTAGGTTTGAATTTCTCAACAAACAATAGGACAATCCCTTAAAAAATAATGAGACAAGGCTTACCCCTCGATTTCAACTATTGGTAGCCATTACCACGTGAATTTTATCTACTTTTCTTTTTAGGCGAACTCCCACCTTGTCATCATGCTATATAACATGCTCAATTATTGTACACAATCAAATACTCAATGTCAGCATATCAATTCACAACAATTATTTGTACACGTGAGCAATACCAATATTTATGCAAATATTCTCCACTTACATCCTCAAGCACATATCTTACATCAAATTCTCATTTCACATGCATATGGCATTCACATGCTAATAAAATCACAATATTGCATCAACTTATCAAACAACATGTTTCAACACAAAATCATGATACTAGCATGTTTTTCAAATAACACCATGCAATTGCTGCCAAATTGGAAAAAATTAACATTTTACATATGTTGCACATATCTCAATTCATAAGCCCGATCTTTGAACTCAATCATTACATTTTCACAAAAACAAATCAACTAACACATAATTATACAAAAAAAAATTCTCCAAATTACCTCAAATTTTTAAAAAATCAAAAGTTTACCTTTCAATAAATTTGCTTCCAAGCTTGCTCTTAAGCCAAATATAGTGAATGGGGTAATTAATCTACAATTAATCAAACTCACAATCATCAACATCATTATTTACACAACTTAAGTTCACTTCAATTTTTAAAATACCCAAAGCCCTTACTCTTACATTTAGGCTTACCCGTTAGGTGTATCAAATCTTTTTAGCTCCCATTAGTTTCATTAAATTCTTCTAAGGCCATTAATGCCACACAACAACCCCCATAACTCATATTTAATAACACAATTATCCAACTACCACCATTATTGCATGAAACTCTCATTCAATGGTTTCAAAAAGATTTCAAATAACTTTCATTAACTCTATTTAAGTTAACAAGTTCAAAATCATAACTTATACGGACCAAAAATTCTCTCCATTCAACAAACCCTAACCATAAACTCAAGAGAATAAGTTGGGAAGGAAGAAGAGATTAAGAGACTTACCCTTAGAATTTGATAGCTTTAAAATGCTTCTAATTTTCTAAAAATTGAAACTCTAGCAGAGCAAAGTCATGTTCTTTCATTTTTCTCCTACTCCCCTTTCTAATTTCACGAATTGATGTTACATTTTTTTTCGCAAAATTTTTGCCATGCGCTACGATATGTGCTTATTATGCCACGTTGTGTGGCACATAATGCCTTAGCCACACCATTTTATGACCATGCATCACTGTGGATCCTTCCTATGTTGTGGCCAATGACAAAGAGAGGTTTTCCCTCTCTTTCTCATCCTATTATGCTTTGATGGACCATGCACCTACTGTGGCACATGGCACAAAACTTTCTTTTTAGTATTTTTCCACTCCTTTAAGCCTATATAGCTCGAACTCAGTCTCAAATCCTTTCCTCGAGCTATACCCAAGCCAGGATGGTTCTTTAATCCTCTCTAAACATTTACTAAATCAATTTTACTTAATCAAACTTGATTATTTCTTTACTTAGCTCAAGGGTTAAAGTTCGGGATGTTACATGCAATACATAATAAAGGATCAAAGCAAAACGGCAAGATAAATAGGAAAAACAATATTAGAAAGCAAAATCGCAAAACAAAATCAGCAAGCAATTAGCCACTATCGTCCAAGACAACATAGGAGTTAGTGACAGTAAAAGGTTTCTCATAGTTAGTGGCATCCTTGGCTAGCAAGATGGAATAAGAAGGTGATAATGATAACACCTATCTTATTAGTCACACCTTCTTGAAAGTGGATGCTGCAATAATGTCAGTAGCAGAAATTGCCATCAATTCATCAACAGAGGTTAGGGGTTGGCTTAATTTGTTCTTGTTTTATAATATATTAAATCTTAATCATTGAAGTTGAAATCCAATAATGGAGAAAATAGGAGGAGAAATTGATAGGAGAGAAATCAACTACTATAAGTTGTTGGTTCTTCAATCATCATCCTTGCATCTCAAGTTAGAATCTTCATCACAAGGTCCTCGACACAATGTTATCAACAACATAGTATGTGTTTGGTTGACATTTTGCTGAGGTTAGGATCGTTCAAATCTCGATTGGGGGTACTTAAAAGCTCATTAGAACATTTTTAATCTTGTTTGGATGAAAAATTGTTGAAAAGAGCTTTTAAGCAACAAAAAATTGAGCTTCTCAAATTTCAACGCCTTGTCAGTCCTCCCTTTTCCTCTGAAAGTATTAAGTGTGGGACCATGTTGCAGAAACACTTTAAGTTTTTGATGTGAGAAATTGTTAAACAAAGGGGTTTGATGAGTTCTTACTCACAAAATATTTAACATTTTAGATTTTTTTAATTTATGAGTTCATTTTAAATTTTTTATTCTACTTATTTAAAATTTTTTTTATTTAAAGTTTAATATTCCTAAATATATTAAATTAGTAGAGTGCATATATATGTGTATATATATATATATATATATTTTGTCATGTTACAGTTGTGTGATGTAAGGTTGAGACATAATTAGTCATACATTATTACAATTGAATATCTTGTAATTTATGAATTTATTTTAGTTTTGCATAATTGAATATTTTAAATTTTATTATTTAATCTACCTTTTTAAAGATTGAGATTTTTGATTTATCAACACATTTTATATAAAAAAATAATAATAAAATCTCTCTGAATTATATAAATGACAATTTAATTTCTCAAAATGTCATAATTCCTTTGAAGTTCTTGAAGACTTTTCTGTCATTAATAAATTTATATAAATTATTAAATTGTCCTTATTAAAAATAAATGATTCATAACTTTCCTTCTTATATTTGCAGTAATGCAACAATAAGTAAGGAATTTAATATACGAAATTGTGATTTGCTGTTGCATTGTTGCAAATTTAAGAAAGAAAAGTTGCAAATATAATAAAAAAAGTTGTGAATTACTTATTTTTAACAACGATAATTTAATAATTTATAAAAAATTCATTAATGATAGAAAAATTTTTAAAAACTTTAGGAGAATTATATCATTTTAAGAAACTAAATTGTTATTTATATATTTCAAATAGATTTTATTATCATTTTTCCTTTTATATATGTAATATACTGTTATAAAAAATTCAATTTTAAGTTTATTATTTTTTCTAAAAATATTAAATTAGTCACAATTTTGTGTGTACAAGAAAACTCATATTCATTTTTGTTATTATACATATTAATTGATTTTTAAATCAGATTATGCAAATAAATTTTAATTTGTCCAACTAACTTAAAAAAAAAAGAATTCAAATATATATCAAGTTAAAGTTACAAATATTTTCCTAATCTCAATTTGTTAATTTAAGTTAATTCTAACTTTAATTACAGAGTTTTTTTTTTAATCTAAACAAACCAATAGTTGTCCGTCACCAGAACCCATTGCTCCATGATCCAGATCTAGTGAGCTGCACATTCTCCGTCTTCATTGTTCATAGGTCTTCAATGGCAAGCTCAAGAGTCGCTCAACTCATTTGATTGACTAGGGCGATGGCAAACTAAATTTTATTTTGATTGTCCGACGATGTTAACTACTGCAAGAATGGAAAATGATGGTAATTGCATTTTTTATCTAATTTTTATTTGATTTGAGTCTATCCATTTTTTTTAATAAAAAATCTTGTGACATATAAGATATAATTTTAAAGTTTATTTCCAAACCGAATATATGCCAATTCTATTCCTAATCTATTTCCAATGCTTTATATCAAACATGTCCATAAATCGACTCAAAAATTTCTGTTACACATTTCCCACCAACATTTTTCTCCACCATTAATGCTTAATTTACTCCTCAGGCGCTCAGCCCATCGGCGCATCGGCACATCCCACGGCCAAAATACTCTTTGGCGTTTTTATCCCAAGTCATTTTTAATGACCTCGTTAAAATTAAGGAAATATAATTAAATTATTAATTTTATTTGAAACTAAAATAATTTTTAATTTTATGCCTATTTAAATTTAAATAATTTTTTAAAGTTATATTAAATTTTTTCTTATAGTTAATAAATTTAAATATGGATAACATTGAAAAAGAGTAATTTATATTCTATCCAGTCTTTTATATTATTAAGGACTAATTTTTTTAAAAAAAACCTTCTACGATAAAAATTGAAGAGAATATGTGTTATGACAATTAAAGTATGCAGAGAAAAGAGCATAACAATTGCATAGACGAGCTGTAAAACATATATGATCTTATTTAATTCTGATTTTTATTTCTATGTTTTAAAATGATTTTGAAAAATTAGTTTTGGAGAAAAAAATGAGAATAAGGAAATATTCCACGTAAGAAAAAGCATAAGAATGTCAAGAAAGTTGCAAAAGTACTGAAAAACTTATTGTGATGAGTGTAACAAACTTCATTCTGTTAAATTTCATTGATGTCTGTTAATATTGACTATTATAAAAAGAAAAAGTAAACATAAAATTCAAAAATATTCATAATTTTTTTATCTAAAAGTTGGTATCCTAAAGTCAACAAAGATATATGAGTATTCATTAATTTTATAAATATATGCCAATCTTCTTCAATCTGTTAATTGCATTCTTAAAATTTCATAATCAATGTCATGTTATTTTAACAGATTGAGAAACGTAAAGTTGGTTAATTTGGATTAAACTTGATGAGCTAGCCTCAATAAGCTTGAAAAATTTTAGAATTAAGCTTAAGGGTTTAGAAAATTTTTTATACTTCAGGTTTGTTTGAGTGGCTGGAATAAGTACAAAAAATTGAGCCAAGTCTAAACCCAAATAGGCTTAGCTGAATATCTGAATTCTTTTTTATTATTAATAAAATAAAATTTAAATTACATAAGAATTAAAAATCTTAATTTTTAAAATAAAATTGAAATTGACTAAAAATAAAATAAAATAATATTTAATCATTCAAGTATTTGGGTCAACTTGAATAAATATGAGTTGTTAGGCTCAACCATGTCTATATATTTTCTTTTATAAAGTTAATGAATACCAATAGTTAAATACATCATTGTTGATTTAAGTCTGCTAAAAGCTCTTGGAGAAAATTTTTTTGGGTATTTTTATAACTTATGTTTATTTGTTTGTTTTTTAACGGTCAACATTAACAGATGTTAGGTAAGTTTAATAGAATGAAAATTATTACACTCAGTTTATAGATATTTTTATACTTTTATTTAATTAAGAATATTGGGTCCTATGAAAAACGTTGTTGAGTATATTTGCCCTTTACTTCAAGAAATTAATTTGAAAAAAGATTTTTTTTTGTTAACCAACGTAAAAAGAAAAGGTCTTGGGTACACCGTACACCAAGTCAACAATGGATGATAATAGCTGTGATCACAAAAAATGAGAACAAAAAATAACCTTTAAATTATTATTATTTATTTTCTAAAACCCAAAAATATATATATAAATTTTCATAAAAATATCAAAGCAACTTTCTCTTTCATTCTTAAAATAAAATAAAAATTGCAATCTAAAACATTATGTAGCTGCTCCTTTTACCTGGGAGCCACAGCCGATGGCCTTAGTGACTGCCACCGACATGGCATGATCTCTTCCGTTGATACAATCTAACGGATCACAGTCTTTTCCTCCATGCAGCCTCAATGATTCCTTCCTCAGGGGATCTCAAGTCTGAACCCTTCCCCACCAACAGAGACCAGAAAAACTGGCGGGTACTGCCACCACCGTACCATTCTTCGCCTGGGGAGGAGACTTAGAACTGCGACCAACATCACATCTGAGGATTGCCTGGTTCAAAACCCTAAACCCTAATTGCTTGAGCTCATAGTGGCATTCCCCTTCCTTAATTCTCCATCCCATTTTAAAACCAGTGCAATGAAATAAGTAAATCCACCGGCCTCTGCAATCCTATATCTATCCCTCATCTTTCTTGCTGGAAGGATGTCTCTGCGGCTGGTAGCAGCAAATTTACTCAAAAAGTTTCGTTTTCCTTCTCGCAATGCTTCTTCTTCTTCTGTAATAATCTCTAATGCGTTGCCTATCTCAATTCCTGGTTCGTTACTAATCATACTGATCTTTTATTCCCCACGTAGCTTTTTTTGTTTCTCTGAGTATCGATGTTACTGTTGATTGAATACACTGCTAAAACCCATTACGTCATAAAATTATCAATGTGAAAAGTTTATGAATGTGAAATATGGTCCCGAATTGTAGTTATAATCTCATTTTTTATTCATCTTATTTCAATATTTTTATCACAATCGTCGAGTAATGGTGACGAAGCAACAAACAGTTCAGTGTAAAATGAGAAAAAAGATGTCAGTTTGAGATGGCCTAGAAATTGCGGGGTTTATCACCGTACTGCTTAATTTTAGAATGGTAAAGTGCTTCCGGGATCGTAGTTCAATTGACTTTATTAGTTTGTGTGAGTGAAAATATACATTAAAACTCGTACTTTGGAATCTTGATATAGGCTCGAATAATTTCTCAGTCAGTTCGTCTATCTCAGATGGCATCACATAGAACGATTGCTAGTGTTTCTTGCAAAATGACGAAAACGTGTCCTGTAGTAACGTATTGATGATTTATCATTTATTGAATCTTAAACTGTTTGAATTTTCTGTATCCTGTATATCTATATCAGGTATTGATAGTTCGAAAGGGATACTCATGTCTAGTTCTAAGCCATGTACAGTGATGATGTTGACTTATTTTTGTTTTTTTTCTTCATTTGGTGTTGTATCAGGCAAAAGTGTTACCCGTCATTGGTATGGAACTGGTGCATATGGTTGGAGGATAGATTCTAGTAGCCATTGTCTATGGATGGTGGTATATGGACATCTTGGTATGCTTTCGCAATTAGCACATAAGTCTGTTTTGTTCTTTTCTGTTGTGCGATTTTGCTGTTTTTTATTCTAAAATTTGCAATTATGTTACTTATCCATCCTTTTCATGTTCCTTCTATGGTTAAATTCATACAAATCCACAAAAGACTCTGCATATTATGGTTGGAGGCAGGTCTCCCAACCTGATATTAAAATTAAATTTATAGCAAGTCAGAAAAGCTTTACTCTCTCCGGACCACAACATAAAACATTAGTTGGTCTTAAAAAATGTTAGTTGAAACCTTAATTCCTTAAAAAAAAAAAATTACATCTTTCCAATTATACTCTCATTAAATATCCTATATAAGTGCTTTGATAATGACAAATGAAATTTCAATGCATCATTTTTTAAAAAAATTAATAAATGAAGTAGGGTTATAGTTGAAAAAATAATTATAAAAATTACCTAATGCCTTATATTTGGGACCAAGCATGGCTTCTAGAAAATGTCTTATATTGTAATTTAGAGGGAATATTTAGGAACTCAAGGCAGTCGTGCAGTTAGAAGGTTTAATTAACTTTTATAAGCTCTTTATATTTTTATGCTGTTGATCTGGAGATGTTAATCTTTTATCTTGTGAACCGTTCTTTTCCAAGAGATTCTGTATTTCTATCTAGAGAAGAAGATTTAGAAAAATAATCTCAGAACCTTATAGCAACAAGCAGGTTATTTGCAACAACAAATGGTAGTCTCTTTGTTCCATATGGAGATAACCTTTCCTTGCAAGTGATATAATAGCATAGTTGGATGCCTTTTCCTTTTAAATGGAGAGGAAATTAGCTGCCAAGAACGTAAAATAATTTCAAGATTGTCGATTAGCTTGTTTACTGTTGGCTATGTTTTGCAAATCAATTTTTTGGTAACTTTTCCCAGCTCAAATTGAATATAAAGCTTGTTGCTCACCGTCTTGGTCTACTTGTTATCTGCCTACCATTCTTCTTGCTTCTACAATTTTATTAGCTCTTAGTTCATATGTACTATAGTGAAGGCTGGCATCCCATCTGGATCAATTTTATGAAAATCAAGCAGGCTGAGGCATTATGTCATGATTCAAACACTTTGGATTGATTACTCTGATCTTTGTGCAGCATTAATTCTTGGAATCAATGCCAACCCTGTGTTTGCCAAAGAAGCACCAATGGAAGCAGTTCCTGATAGTGACACTGAAACGGATGACATGATTGGATTGCAAAAAGTTGAGGATGGCTCTGTAGTATCAAATATACATACATCGAAATGGAGGGTCTTTACTGATAAAGGGAGAGAATTTTTTCTTCAGGCAAGTAGATTTTCCTTTTGCTATGTTTCACTTTTCTTCATTTATATCTTTTGCATTCCAAAGCTTGTTTTCTGCCAACTATCTGCCAGGGAAAAATAGATGAAGCTGAAAAGCTCTTCCTTGCTGCAGTGCAAGAAGCTAAAGAAGGTTTTGGCCGGAGAGACCCACATGTTGCATCTGCATGCAACAATCTGGTCAGTTTATCATTAAAAGATGGTTTACACTTGATAATTATCTTCCTAATTATTTGTGAGAACTTTACACTAACTCATCATGAAATCTTCCTAGGATTTTTTTTCTTAGAAACTTTCATTGGGTTGCTGTCTTATTTTCCTAAATCTGACAAATGTTTTCATTTTAATCGAAGTTGTGAGAACTGTATTATAAATCATTGAGGAAGCTGCCTGGAGAGTTTTCTTTACAGACCCTCGTCGAGTTGCTGTCTTTATTTATTTTCTTATTGTTAATCTTATCCTTTATCAGTGAGAATGTTTCTACAATATATTCCCATGCATATGGTTTTCTTTCCTGAGATTTGGGGAATTAGATCCCTGCTTGCATTTCCATAAGAAATCTTGGTGCATAATTACACTTCATGTTCGCAGAATAATTAAAATGCCAAGACAGATTGTGATATTAACAGTTGATGCACAACTTACAAGTTACAACAGTCAATTTTCAGAGACATTAGATGATGTGATTGGTAGAATTGTATGGAACATTTCAACTTTTAGCAAAACTTATTCTTTCTGTTTTATGTTGAAGAAGTTATCTTGGTTGACTATGCTTGGCCTTATTACCTCTAGCTGGTATTACCTCATAATGATTGCTTCAATTGCCTAAAATGAGAAGATTTTGTAGTAAGACAATTCAATTGTTTCTTTGATTCTCATTTCAGGCCGAGTTATACAGAGTCAGGAAGGCTTTTGACAAAGCAGAGCCACTATATTTGGAAGCTATCAGCATATTGGAGGAGTCATTTGGACCTGAAGATATACGGTAAAGTGCATTTTCAGTAAAACCATCATAATTATTGTTTTTTAATCATTTACGAGTAATAAATTATTTATGGCAGGGTGTGGTTGTTTCCTATTTTTGTGAAGTTAAAGGTCTTATGTAGCCACACAAGGGAAAACCATCATGTGGAATTCATAGTTGAAATAATAATTATATGAATTTTCTTTTCTAGCTATCTTCTTTGTATCACAGTTCTCTTCGTTGGTTATTTGCACTAGAGGATTCTAGATTTTCTTTGCATTCCCTCACTTATGAACGTCACTAATATAGTTGAAGGGTCTCCCTCGAAACAAACATTGGCAATTGCCGGTCACCAAATTAATTTATTAACAAAAATAAGGAAAAGAGAGGCCCTTGAAAATATATGCATTGTTCTCCAACAAAATGCACCTAGAGTATGTAAATCATACACTGTTAGACCACAAATCGTGAAGATAGAGCATGTGTATGCACCGTATGAATTGTTCTAGATTCTTGCATCTTGATCACTTGAATTGTGTCCTTGTATGTAGAATCCTTTCCTTCCTAGCATCACCTCCTCAACAAAACACCAACATTAATTCCCAATCGATGTCTATTTGGAAGTTGAGAATTCCTTCTTAAGATGAAGACTCTGAAGCTTAAGAAGTTCTTCATTTTATTTACTGGAGATCTATGTTGTTTTCAGCTTGAGCTTTTCTAATTGCTCATACCAGCAATTGAAACTGTGATTTTGCAGAGTGGGAACTGCGGCTCATAACCTTGGGCAGTTCTTCCTTGGACAGAGGAAGTTGGAAGAAGCTCATGGTTACTATGCGGTAAATCGTTTCACATCTCTGGAGTTTAAACCATCTTGGCGACTGGTGCACTAAATTATCAAAATCCCGTAATCATTAAGAGGACTAATGGCTAATCCTTAGCCTAATTAAACCCCTACAACTTCATTGAGTGTGCACTTATCGCCCTTTACTTTTCAATTATAGCAACAAAACTCTTCAGGTTACTGTGTTATTTGTTGAAAGAACAAAATTCATTGTGCCTTTCACATCACAAATTGATTGATAGGGTCAGGGTTTGACAGGGATTAACGTTGAATCTTTATCAGGATAAGAGCAAGACTATTAAAACCTCTATTCTGATAAAGCTAGGAGAATCTCCATTAGTGCAAGACAAACAAACTTCGCACTTATTGAAGTCAATCTGATACAGATAAATATAAGAGGCATAGCTGACAACAAGATAACTAACAACATAACTGAAGACACAAATAACTAACTCCTAGGAATTTGACGACACATTAAGAAGTTACTCCCTTCTATATTTCTGATGTAACTGTCCCCAATCACCCTATTTATCCTCTGATTTAACTCTCTTCTTCCTCCTACTATAGGCAATAAGAGGTGGTATCCTATCACAAATTAACCCTTCTTTTGCTCCATTCTTGTTAAGGAGACTCCCTAGAATGGCCAATGAATCGAGCACAAAAAAAGGGGGGGATCCTGAAGACAATTTAATCCCATAGCAACCATGAAAATCCTAGCATTTTGCTCAACTTATCAATTTATCATACATTGAGATGAGATTTTGCGTGTGTGTGTGTGGAGATCTATGTAGATTCAATATAACAATAGTTTGTGGTAATTGTATTGCTCTGATTCCTATGCATTAGCTTCTTTGGGTATCTGGAAGATTTTTTAAAGTAAAATAAAATAGAGATACTTGGACATTAAACTCATTAAAAACTTTGGGTAGGAGAATAATATGGAAAAGTAAGATCATAGAGGTGAGTAAAGTAATGGTGTAATGATTGATATCTGTTGACAGCTCATCTATTTATTGTTCGTCAATTTTTTTTGTTGTTGTTTCAGTCGTAATGATAACATTTTTTCCTCCTTTCTTTTTTTATTTTTTTTATTTTGACTGAATTCTCCTTCCTCTTGCTTTTGATTGTGGCAGATGGCTTTGAAGGTGTGGACCTAATATATTCACACTTATTTTTCCTCTGATCGGGAAACATTTAGCATTTTCACTTTAGTTGTATATTGTAATCATATCACAACTCATTATATCTGAACTTGGGTTGTTAATTGAGAAATAATCAGATAAAAAGGCGGGTTCTGGGACATGAACATCCAGACTGTGCTGATACGATGTATCATCTAGGAGTGGTAATAATTCATCCCTTTACTGTACTATTCTTTCTCCTTACTGTTTTTTATTTTATATAAGAATATGATTGATGTTCTATTGGCAGTATATCTAGATTGACATGTTGGAGTTAGAAAATTAACTGAAAATGATTCATCACAAATATCAACATGAAGGTTGCATTCAGATAAGTTAATTCTGTGTAACTTTTTGCAAAAATACATCTGGATTTGAGATTTTTATATCATCCATGATTAAATAATGCAAAATTAATACGTCATAAAAATTTTCTAATATTATTGAATGGGACCAAAGAGATGCCCAATTTATTATTCTTTTCCATAGTAACAACATTCCAATCTTCACCATATAATTGAAATATTAGATGAATTGAAGATAAGAACAACATATGATAGATGAAGTGGTACTGATGAAGTCTATCATTGCCAGAATTTTGTGTGAAGTGAGATGTGTATCTAGGGGCAGGATGTTCTTATTTCTTTCCCATCACGCTGCTAATCCAAAGGGGGAGTGTTTCTGCATTGAGCTTGATACATATGATTTAACCCTATTTTCTGTCATTTTAAAGTTTTGCTATGTTTTGTTCTGCCCTCTCTAGTTTTCGTGCTTGCTTACCTTTAGAAGAAACACAGGATTTTGGTCCTCGGTTTTCTCCTTGGTTTTCTTTTAACAGATTTTTTATTTTTTACAAAACAGTGTGGTATACTAAAATTTCATAAATGAAAAGGGAAATAAAAAGCTGTTTCTACTATATCTTTCAGTTCTATGCTGTTAAGCATTGCCTCACAATTACAAGTGTGAAAACTCTAGCGATAAGAACATTTTCAGTTTTGAGGTGATTATCTTTGCAACTTCTCCAGGATATACTGGTGGTTTGTTGCTACTTTTTCATGGATTTTTAATTGGGATTTTATTTCCAGTATGCAGGGGAACTGAGGAACTATAATGAGAAATATATCATTTGTTATCTTTTTTTTTCCTGTGTTTTTCTTTGCTGTAAAAGGATTTATTATTCTTTTGTTTTTCTATGTTCTCCAGATACTTGAAACTTGATATATATGATTTAATTTCGCTTCTATTTAGTGGGCATAGATGGTGTTTCTAGAAGTTTGGTTCTATGTATTTCATTGGTGGACCTGAAATTCATCTTCATTTGGGGTCTCAACGGGTTGGTCTAAGTTGAATTGTTTTTTTAAGTAGCTTTATTTTTTTTAATGCGTTCTGGAATTTGAGCTTGGTTGGATTTTAAGTTTCTACGAAATTGTATGTTCAGGTTCTGCATCTTCAAGGAAAGGCAACGGATGCTGAGGCCATTATTCAGGACTCTATAAGAATGCTAGAGGTGCATCTTTTTTATACCTTTAATCAGCCAACAGGTGCTTTTGTGATTTTGATTTTTCTTTCATAGGACAATTTGTTTATCAATGTAGGAAGGTGGTGAAGGAGAGTCCATTATATGCGTTAGAAGACTTCGATACCTTTCTCAGGTTGTCTTTTATTCTTTTGATGATAATCTTTGTTGATCATGGTTGATTCTTATTCCTAGATGATAAAGAAGATAATCTATGTATTTGGATTTTTTATCTGAAATTTATAGGGGCCAAGCAAGCTATACCTTTCCCCCCTCCCTTTTTTCTCCTTTGTGGTGGGGATGAGTGTGTGAGGTGTGGGAGGGCAGGGATAGACTAGTAACCATTGAAAGCTGCCAAGGAAGCAACCAGGACATAAAAGTGATAGAATCCAAGAAATTTGAAAGTATTTTCTTCATGCTGTACCTATAAGACAGTCAGACGCAGGGCAAGATGAACTGTATTTGAACAGAATGAAAAAGGTGCTCTTCCTGGATGTTCGAAAGTAGAAACCTATTAATCCAACACATACTTTTGTCAATGGACCCAATAATCTAATATTAATATAGCCTAACCTCTCCGTGGAATTGATACTTCTCATTCTCTCCTAAGCCAACAAGGCACAATGCAAATCCTTTTGATTAGGTCCCATGCAATCCTCTTCTGGGAGAAGTGCGCACGTGAATCCACAGCATGATGCACACCCATTACAGGCTTCCCTTAGTTCTCCTCACAATTCTGTTCCAGGTTTTCAGATTATAATCCTTTCCAGGTGTAATTTCAGAGTCTCATAAAATTTTTGCTCCTTATGATCTAGATATATATGAAGTCACATCGGCATGCTGAAGCTGAGATGATTCAAAGGAAGATTCTACACAAATTGGAACTATTAAAGGTTATTTATTAGAACTTATTTCTCTCTTCCTGTGTTTAATTTACATATTGCTCTAACTGACATTCTCATATTCTTTTTACCTTAAACATTTTTTATCAAATCAAAGTTTTATGTTTACAGAAAGTTGATTATACTTGATAAACACTTTTTCAGAGTTGATTTCTTGGGAAATAATCTAGATTTAAGGATCCTTAGAATTATTATGTATTGACAGTCATCAAAAGGTATTATGACAGGCAAAGCAAGTTGCAGATGGGTGCTATATGATGATCAGACCGGGTCTGATCTTATTTTTATTTTCTACTTACTGTCTTCTACAGTTAGCTGTTATCACCTTGCTCGATTTGATAAATTATGTTTCCAGAACAGTTATCTCGTGAAATTTGTTGTCCTGTCAAAAACGTGGTGTGATTTATGGAAGACAGGGGTGGAATTCCTTGGACACTATCGCTGTGGCTGAAAGTTTGGCTCTGACTCTGCAAGCGTCTAATAATTTAAAAGATTCGCAAGATCTTCTTGAAAGGTGATTTACTAAATTATTGTAGCCTCCAAAAGAAATTTGGCTCTGACTTTATAGTTTATGCAGTTGATTACCTTTTGCTTTCCTTGCAGATGCCTTAATGCCCGGAAAGACATACTTCCTCACGATCATATTCAGGTTTGTATTGTTGACCACAAACTCATTTAGATATTATGAAATGTGCTTTTAAAGAACCGGTCAACCTAAATTTAAGAGCTATCAATCTGTTTAATTTCCTGGGAATGGTTATATTTCCAACTCATCCCCACATGTCCACAAGGTCATGGCAGGATATATATATTTTTTTTTTGGTTGATAACTTGATTTTACTTCTCCAAGATGCCTCCAAGGTTCAAGCCTATGGTTAACTATGGCAACATAATTATGATATGTAGTTATTTTCTTAAAATAGCAGTCTGGTGTAAATCATTAAAGGAGTTTCATACATGTGATAGGTTTTGTGCATGTTGATTGTCTGATACCCTGTACTTTCAAATATTTGGAATTTTGGATGATGCTAGATTTTGATAGTTTTCTTTCCGAGAGTTGAAATCCCCACTCAATCTGTTGCTACGCTGGTAGTTAACTTAAATATATATTTATTTTTGATCTATACTCTTGTAACGAGCAATTAGTTTATGCTTGTTATTCTGTAATATTTCTTGATTACATTTATCAAAAGAATACACGTGCCTTACTTTCTTTTACCCACATTTAGATTGGTGCAAACCTCCTGCATCTAGCAAGGGGGGTGCTGCTCAGCATCAGGCAACTGCACAAGTGGGATGCTATTGGAGAAGCTGAGTTTGATAGGGCAAAGGATCACTTGGACAATTCCATGAGGTTTATTTTGGCTGGTCACATATAGCTCTTGCATAACTAAATTTTGATATCTAAATTAAATTGTCACAATGCTTTTCCAATGCCAATCAGCCTTTACTTCCACATTTGCCATCATGTTGCTTTCTTGTCAATGTCCTTTTTTATATGTATTTGTATCCATGTTTTTAGGAAGGTGAAATTTGATGTTAATGTTTAGTCTATAAGTCATGTAGATTTGGTCAGAACACTTCAGAAGACCCAAAACATTCACTCTCGCCGGACCAGGCTTAGTTGATCAAGACAGATTTTTTTCTTCTTTCCTTCGAGTGTTGTATAATTAGAAGTGTGAGGGAGCATTCAGAGATTAGAGACATAGAGTGACAATAATATGTGTTGCCTGGACAAACTTTTAGGCATACTGAAAGTACACAGGTTTCCATTATGCTGAATGGAGAATCAACATAATTCTGTAAACAAGCTTCCTTTATCTGCCATAAGAGGATCCTATTGAGATCTAATCCTTTGTGGTTTAGGTTTTTGTTTGGTTGGTTTTCTCAAGAAAATTGTTAGATTCATGAGCTCCTGATTAGTCTTTCACTTAATTGTAGTTGTGAAATCCAGGGTCATCCATTGTTTGCATTGTTTCTATGAGCATTCTGCAGGAATTGGTTTTTTCCTCCAAGACCTTCTTACATTGATTTTTTTGGGGTATTTAGAAAGAACCCAGGCTAAGATCTTTTCAGGTGTTCCATGTAATAGTTCAACATCTCTTCCTGCTCTAGAGTTTTTTTTTTTTTTTGGGAAAATACAACAGTAGGTCTCTGTATTTTTATTGTGTTATGTTTTTAGTTCTTATAATTTTATTTCATTGTTCCTAGTCCTTTTAGTTTGATTTGTTTGCCATGTTAGTCTCTATTGTTTTAAAAATGCATATAATGACCATGAGCTGCTACCAACAAAGTTAATTTTGCTATAACTCTGCTAACCCTTTTGCTGACATGGAAATAAATTGACAAGGTATGATTAAAAATAAAAGGTAAGGGGGGCAAAAAGGTTCCTCGTATATTTGGATTAAACAAAATGTGAGATGAAGGCAAAACTAAGTCCACATCATCAATGGGGTTAATGGAATTAAGCACACATCAACAAAATTAACTTCATCGATGCCAGCTCATATCCTTATGTGCATTTTTAAAACTATAGAGGCTAACATTACAACAACAACAACAACAAGCCTTTATCCCACTAGGTAGAGTCGACTATATGGATTGCAAGACACCATTATGTTCTATCATAGAGGTTAATGTTACAAATAGATCAAATTAAAAGGATAGAAGACAATAAAAAAAAACTATAAGAACTAAAAACAAAATGCAATCGAAGTACTAAGACATACTGTTGCATTTTCTTGTTTTTTAAATTGTTGTAAACCAATCGTCTGAGCAGTTAGAGGTCTTCTTATTCAGTTTGGTTTTGGTTTTATTATGTCAACTTTTAGCAGGATTCTCTAATTGCTGTCTCATAATAATCTATAGTGAATAGAGTACTTTTGTTTTGTGTGGATTTGTGCAAATTATTGATCGGCTGTTACAAAATTCAATCTCAGGATTGCACGTCAAGTTTTAAATAAATTATTGAAACAAAAAGTCAACACAAAAAATTACAGTGCACTGGGACGTTCTATGAAGGAAAGACAAGCTGCATTAATCATACTGGTCAGATTTTTTATTCTTATGATTCCTTATCTTTACGCATGTTTGCAATCAGAAGTTAAATATCTGGCGCTAGCATGAAGGCTTCTGTCCTGAATAGTGTTCTTATTTGAAGGTCATACTGCTACATCCACCTTTTTTCCTATGATCATAGAGTTATGCTTATGTATTTCTTAATTCAAATGTAGTTGACTAATACCTGTATAGCATAGCATAGTAATTTTACCTTTATATGTGATTTCTGTTGTTGATATAATGGGAGGATACACAATTGGGTGACATAAAGACCACTTGAAAAGTTGATATTATTTAGCATGATATTCTTTTTCAAATTCTCAACTTGGTTGTCACTGCTCATGCTTGTTTGAGTGAAGATAGCTAGAAGTTGAGTGCTGCAGTTGTATGTACACCCATATAATAGCTACTTCCATGGTTATTATTTATATGAGAAGTGATGCACCCTGACCTTTGTGATGAGGCTCATAACGTTTAAACTGTAGATAACATGATATTTCAAGTTTTTTGGTTATTGATTGACGGTGTAATATTGACATAGAGGAGATAAAAGAAGATAGCATTTTTTATTTTTTATTAGACTTTAATTGTTAGGAGGTAACAATATTCTTCGCTTAAACAGGTTGATTTTTGTCAGTAACATTAACTTTTGGTTTTCTTATTTTACTTGTATTGAGGGGTTGAATTATTCTCCTTCCAAATTTCTTCAATCAAAAAAATATTTTTTTTTGAATGAATTGTGATTTTTGTAGCTGCAATCACTCAGTACTTTGGCATCATTGGAGTTAGCAAAGCAAGAATTGCTGGGAATTCAGGTTAGAATATGAAACTTTGTGTAGTTGACTATTTTCCTTCAGAAGTAATAAATTGTGTAATTATGAAACTATTGATCACATGATTCAAATTCTTCTTTGACTGCACATGGGAAACCATTCCCTGGAGGACGCTGCTAAAATTGATGCAGCATCCATAGGAGTTGTTTGCTTGATCTTCCTTCGCTTTAATTCATCTGTGAACACAGTTTAGTTTTTTTTTTTTTTTTTTTTTTATCAGATATACGAGATATATATTGATATGCATGAATAGAATATGAACACAAGATTTTAAATCTTTGCTAGCTTGTGGTTTTTGGGAAATCTGTAGCTTTCATCCCCCTGGAATAGCTGTTACAATAAAATTACATATTGATAATATAGCTGATTGTTATTAGTTGATCCTTTTGACTCTTTTGTGGGTTTGTTACTTTATGAGTTTATGGGTCTCTGTATCAGTGGATTATTTATCATCCCATCCTAGAGTAAAACATGAAAGGACGCTTTTCAAATGATTCATTTTACAATTCTTGCAAGGCTTGTAATTGTGTAATGTATAGTGAATATGTTATTCTAGTTGTTTTTGTGATTGTTGTTCATTTTGCAAAACAGGAAGAGCATTTACATCTTGAAGCTAGGAAGGCACTTCTTCAATGCGTTTCCTCTTATAGGGAGGTAAAATTAAACCCGATCACATGAAAAAAATTGAACCCTTGATCTGCAAACATAGTTTGGTGAGAATTATTGATTGCTCTTGTTGGACTAGGCCATACATATGCTAGCTAGTGTTATATCCAAAATTTGCTTGTAGAAGTGAAAGATTTATGTGCTGTTCTTTCATCTTTCAAATGGGGTTTTGAACATTTTTGACAATTATAATCTTATTTACAGTATGTATCTGAGAAGTCAGTAGCTGATTCCACTGAAATAAAGAAGGATTATCTTTCATGTTTAAAGCGCGCTCAAAACTTGCTTGGCAGTAAACTCGCTGAGGAGCCAACCAGTTTAGAGGATTCCTGAGCTGAACTAAGCACGTTGAATACAAATTTTTTGCTTGGCAGAAAAAAATAGCCAAGCTGAATAGAGATTTTTATTGTACCTGATAGAAGGTGGCATGCGGGACATGATGTGTGCCACGCTAAATTAAGATGAGAATCATCTTGTCTTGGCTTCCCCCCATAGTCATCTAAATGTGGGAGCTATATACTGTTTTATTTGTAGTGTAATTAGGGTTGTTCTTTACTTGTTTAATTTGTTCAGGACAAAGTGTTTGTCCCTCAAAACATCCAATAGTTAATTCTCAAGTAACTGGCCCTCAATAAAATATTCCTTGGAAAACACTTGGATACACATTTTTCCTTTTCTACAGTGGATTTGAAATTTGAGTTCTTGGTCCGAATTATAGGGACATCAAGGCCAATTACCAGATGTCACAACAGAACTGAGCAAACTACAATAACATTCCATGAGTGCAGGATCATGTGAAGGAAATTAGCAGCAAAGTAGAGGCAAGACACTCCGTTTTAGTGATGGTAGGAAAAAAGGTAATTTCAACCGGCTGAGGAAAAATCCGTGAAGTAGAAACTTGTGTGTTTGAATTATTGAAATGTCGGTGAGGATTTAAGCCTTCAAAAGCGAAAGTATAACTACATAAAAGTAATGACTAAGAGTATGCCAAAAAAAAAAATAATAATAAAATGAAGTCTGACAATGTAGAAGGCACGTCAAAACATACTATTGTGGCTATGACAGGCATATTGAAGCAAAGCAATATGGACAAATACAAATTTCTGAAGCATCATAATCAAACGGCTGCCATGTAGCATTATTTGAATTCATTTTCTTCAATTTTCGTACTCAGTCAATTTTTTTGTGGAGGGTTTAAAAGGCTTCTACAAGAGCCAAAAATTGAAGGGTAATTGTTTAAAGCGTTGGTGATTTTTATTTTTTAAATGTCGATCATTGTTACCCATGAGTTGTCTCTTTTAAAAACACACTATTTCATGGCTAATACTTGCAAAATTCACTTTTTTTTATAATACTTGCAAAATTCTATTTAGGTTTAACTATTTTTATTTTGAGATTTTGAATTTTTATTTTTATTTTGGAGATATTTGAATTTTTATACTAACTGATCTATATTTTAAAGGTTTCATTTACTTTTCTTAGTTTTAAAAGGTTAGATAGGAAGCTCAAAATTATAATATTTAAACTGTTAAGTTTAAACTGGTTTAATGAAACGTTTTGTTCATAATTAATTTAACTAAGATTCGACTGTAATTTTTATCATTAATCTTTGAATTAGTATCATAATCAGATCAATGTCCAGTTTCAATACCTTACTCAAAATGCAATTCCATGTAAAAGGGAAATATCCAGAACCCTTTTTTACGAAGTGACGCCATGAAAGTGACTGGTTTTTGGAGAATAAATCTCTTCTTGTGTAGACAAGCTAGAAGAGTACACGTACCAGAATAAAACATATCCTATAGGACCATAAGCTCCCACGCATCTTCAATCTCCAGGTGGTCCCTAGACCTCCATTTTCAAATTGAATGATCCTATTAAATTCTGACAACACCGCCAGAACTAAAGTTGAAGCCAGCCAAGAAAGTCACAAGTGAAAACCTGCTCGACCAACTCTCATGTATACTTTTCTTATTTTCCAAGTCCTAATTTTCTATATTACACTGCGTGGAGCTTGGCTTTCCCACACATCCTATTCTCTCCTTCACTTCTCTGTCACCAAACTTCCCCTTCATGGCCTCCATGCTCTTGATCAGACAGAGAATCCAGCCAAAGGATCATCGGGAGACTGATGTTTTGGCCATTGAGAAAGCAGCTGCATGGGTGTGGCACCAACGTAGTTCATCATCAGGCTCCGAAGGAAAGATCATGAGAGAGTTCCACACCACAAGAACTCATCAACGCGATCACCAGCCTTCTCGTTACAAGTTGGAAGCAATGAAAATGGCTTCTTCTTCTTCCCAGGAAACCCTGGTTGATGATGATGAGCGAGCCAAGAAGAAGCTGCCTCTTCTTGATGCCTACGAAGTACGTAGTATTTTAACGAGACTGGACAATCTCGTGGCAGAATCTAATCATGACAAACCATGTAGTTTGAATGATAAGACGAATATGGGTCGAAGGATGAAGAAGAAGGTGGGAAAAGGGATATGGGAAGGGCGCAGAGTGATGTGCAGCGCAAGGAAAGAAGACGTGGTGGATGGAAGAAGAGGCTTTAAGGGCTGTCAGATTCAGCTTTCTGCAATGTGTGTACCTGCGACTAAGCGTTCAATACCACAAGAACTAATGGTGCTCGTGCTTTGTAATAATCTTCCCCCCCCCCCCCAATCTGTCATCGTCAAGTAAGTTATTATTAGTTTGAAGACCGAGTTAGGATATCGAATTAACCAACATCTATCTTAACTTGTAATCTGAGAATTGTTTTTGATTCTGTAGATATCTTGTTTGTAGTAGTTATCGAAGCTAAGCTGGAAAAGGGGATAATACAAGAACAAATGTTTCGTTTGGTTACTGAAAAAGGAATGAAATATAATTAATTAAAAAAATTAATATAAAAATGAATTAAATCACCTTTCTCCTCATAGTAAGCATGCATAATAAAATTTATTAATATATATTATAAATGTAAAAATTATCATACCTTCCAAAAATCTCATAAATCATGATTTTCAATTTTATGAACCAAATTACCTCTTTCCTTTATAAATGTAATTGATTTTTTTTTTTTATCATTTCATTTTTACCTTTATTTTTTCAATCTGTTTCATTTTATTCCTTTCTAGTAACCAAACAGGATTGAAAGGTTTAACTATGTAACTATCGGATACTTGGTTCAATTGATAAGGAAGTTGCACTAGCTAGTTTAATCATAGATCTCGAGTTTGAGTTCTAAATGTAGCATTATTGTTGGTAGAACTTCCGCCTGAAAGGATCCCGTTCTGGCTCAATCCTAACTGAGCTCCTATTAAAGTCTCATCAGCTTAACATGAGGCGAGTGGATGCCAGGTGCCCAACGCCCAAAAAAAAAAAAGGTTTAACTATATGTTTGGAACATGGTTATGCAGTGATTTAAGATGGAAGCATCGATCTTTCATGAAATTTTGTTGTTTGAGGATACTTCTAGTCATAATTTAATTATTTTCCTGTCTGGAGGAGAACAAATAAAGTTTTATATTTGTTAGTAGTTATGGCTTCAAGGATGATGGATTATCTTGGTTGTGAGAACGGATTCTGGTCCTCCTCTCTTGAGTGTTGTTTTGCAAGAGTAAAGGTCTAAGGATGGAGTTTGGCTAGTGTTTTCAGTTTCTGTCACATGCATATTCTGGTGTCTTTCTCTCTCTCTCTCTCTCTCTCTGTGTTTTTTTTTTTTATTTTGGCTTCATGTGATGATAGGTTTGTTATGGTGTGTGGCGTTAGTTTTGTTCCGTATGTTGTTCACTGAGATGTCTGTGTTAGTTGTATCATTCATGTCTTTTGCTTTTAGATTTTGCTGATGTTGTTGTATTACTTGCTGTTCATGGCCTAAAAAAGAGATGGTGCATTTTCATTCCAATGGGAAAATCTTATTGAGGTCATTTTCCCGCATAATAAAATCTATGCTCTTGCACTTGTTACCTATTTATATTATTTAGTATATGAAAAGGAATCAGTCTAATGCAATAGAATTACTTGTCATTTTAATTAAAAGGTTTTTTTTTAATTGGATTGGGTTGTATTTAGAGACTGGTTTTAATTTGTGTCCTTATAACAGTTTAGAGTTGGTTTTTGGCAATTTACAACTAATATTTATGAACTTGCAACTCATCAATATCTCATCAAAAATTATATACATGGCTATTATTATTATTTTTTTATAAATGATATTCAGCAATTTATAACCGATCTTCGAGAATTTATTATACCAATTAGAACCTAAGTTCTTCATTGTACTTTTCCAAACTGTTAGGCTTTAATGTCATTTTTTTTTTAAATAATTTTATCAGCAAATAAAAAGTTCAAGTCTAATAGAAGATACTAGTTTGAAAAACTTTACATCTAATACTTAATCATGACTCCTCCAATAGAAAAATATCTATAAACTAAAAAAAAAAAAAAAGCTTGATCAATGGAAGGTTTAGTGCATGTTTGATTTCATGTTGAAACTAATAATAAAAATCAGGACTTTGGTAAAAATACGTAAATACTTACTTGCACCAAAGCCAAAACGATTAAATGATTTTGGTAATTTTAAATATAAAACCAACTTCGTTTTTTAAACAACGCGCTTAATTTTGTGAATGACAAGTAAACTTAAATGTTGGGCCCTTTGGGACCCATTCATTCATGCAAAAGAAATGGAACTTTTACGTTCACGTAGATCATTAAGATTAAATATATAAATCTAGAACCTGCATAAGTATTTCAAGTTTAGACAATTCATGAATGTACGTATGAATTCAATATATTGTCCATCCGTCAGATGTTTTGCCTCTTCATTCATTTCAATGCAGTGACGTGCGTGAAGCAAACCCACACACACACCATCGTCGTCATCATCAATAATTCAGGTTGTTGGGTTTCTGTTAGACTGTTACATACAATAGCTACTTTTCTGTTAAATTGATTAATTGTTGAGCTATATATATGACATGAATATGATTGGTTTAATCAATTGAGATCCTTATTAATTAGCTGCACTATTCTGTGGTATTTGAGAAGTGAAATTGGATTTTCATATTAATTAATTGGTAGCTTTAAAATAACTAATTACTATATAGGCTCTCTTATTTCAGTTAAAGCAAACACTAAGTGCATGTGTTTGGATTAAAAATATCTGCAACTAATGTTAAAACCAACTGAGATTAGGGAAAAAAAATAGTCTGTAATTTTAACATGATTTATGTTTAGATAATTTTTTTTTCAAAAGTCAATTCAACAAACCTATTTGAATGATTTGATTCAAAAGTCAATTGAAATGTATAATAATAAAAATGGACATAAATTTTTTTTATTGACTTCCTCCGTCCTTATATATAAGATATTTTTAACTGAATCAAGTAAACTAATAAAAATTAATTATCTAATTAAAAATTTAGTAACATTTCAACTTTGCCCCTAATTATTGTAAATAAAAAGTGAATCTCTTTTTTTAAAGTAAATTAATGAGGATAGTTACCTTTTTCTTTTTTTAATTTAATAAAAAAATAATGATCCATTTATTAAAAATTATGCTAAGAGTCTCTTATATTTAAGGACAAAAAATATTTTAAAAAATTTTTATATATAAAGACGGAGGGAGTATATTTTTGTGATGAGTTTGATATTTTTAGGAAAAAAAGATTATAAATTTAGTGACATATATTTTTATGATTAAGTTGATATTTTTTAAGAAAGAAATATTAAACTTTAAGTTCTTACAATTATATTTTAAAAATGTAGAATTAAAAAATCTAAAACAAAAATTAAAAAGCTAAAGTTGGGCCTTTTGATCCAGAAACACTAGCCATGGCCATAGAATATCTTACCTTGGGTTATCAAGCTCTATCATTTTTATTTTTTATTTTTTTTGAATAAGATTTTCTATTCAAAGCTCTTCGTGTTTTCCTTCTTTATTTCCTTCCATTTTTTTTTTTTATTCAATCTTTCACCGACAGCAAGCTCCACAAAGGATAGAACAAGAAAAAACCCAACAGACGAACGAATTACCCAGCCTTGACGGAGCAGACACTACAACAACGTTGACAGAACCCACGCCCACAGTATGCAATGACGGCCAGAAGAGACGGAGGTAAGTCAAGCAACAAATTTCTACTTCTTGAAGATAATGGTGAAGAGTTACCATGAGCACAGGTGAGTAAGGACAACAGAGAGATAGATCACTCACTTGACAAGCAACTCACTTTTCTAACTTGCCATTGCTTTAGAAGCTCATTCTTTGAGCTTTAGATTTGACACTCAGTTATCACCAAAAGCACTTCTGAAAAAAAAAAAAATTGTCTACAAATAAGATTAAAATTTTTTTGATGAACTTTTGACACTCCAACTAAGCTTTGGACTTTGGATCCTCCTAACCTTAATCGGGGTGTTTATCCAAACATACCCTAAGTACCTAATTGGATGCAAAAATAATTGATTATTTTGGGCAAAATCATGATTTAGGTAAAAAATACTCAAACACCTCCATTTGCTCATGATCAATTATTTGACTCAAAACCAAGTTTTGGCTTAAATTGGGGGAAGTTGCTTTAGAATTTCAATTCTACTATTATGTGTATTAATTATTGGGTTAAGGGTCATTTTTGTTTATAAACTGTACATGAAAGCTCACAAATAAACTTAAATTCAACTTGGGATCAATTTTATCTCTCAATCTTAGAATTTTGCTTCCTCCGTGTCCCCGATGTTAATTATCTGTTAATGGGGTTCACATGAATTTTTTAAATATTTTTTAATAATAAAATATAGTAGTAGAACCCACTTTATATTTTTTATTATATTTTTGAGATTAAGGGTCTAAAATGCCTCCTGAGTAAGTGAAAAGGATCAGAATTACCCTTAAAATTAAGAAAGGGTCATTTATATCCCTCAACAATTAAAATTTTTTATTCCATTCGTACTATCTGCTATGTCAATTTTCACCATTAGTGAGACCCACATTTGAATTTTTTTAATATTTTTAATGAGTACTATCATTTTTTAACATTTTTTATAAGTTTTAAAAAATACCCCTCTCTCTTCTCCCTCTCTCCTCTCTCATTCCCCCTTCATTTCCTCTTGTTTGCTCGTTCTTGGATTGAAGAAAGTAGAGTAGCAATAGCAGAGCACCCAGCACGTTGATTGCAGTCTTGATATCGTCATGAATGACTAGGCTGAAGAGTGCATTGAAAGCATGTTCCTACAATGGTTGGTGGAATTTTGGCACCATTTGGCAATGACAATTTTGAGGGCAAGGTTAGGAATTATGATAGAAAAATCAAGCTTGGAGCCATTGAATAGCCATGTTGTGAAGTTCAAATTCTTACAAGCTTAAATAGAGACTCAAATGAAGGTGTAACTTGAGCCCTGAGGAGACCTACTGAAAATATAAAAAAATGGTGGGACCCATTAAAAATATTAAAAAAATAAACATGGTGAAATTTGATGAAATAGACCATAGGATGATGGAATCACAAATTTTAGTGATTGAGGGATATAAATAACCCTTTCTTGACTCTAGGGGCAATCCTGACCCTTTTCACTTAGTTAAAAGGTATTTTAAACCTTTAACCCTTTATTATTTGTTAGAAATACTCACCTACCAAATGTAATATTTCAAAAATTTATAATTTGATTAAGTAAAGTAAGTAGAGTAATTGAGTTAATTAGTGAAATGTGTGGCCAAAGAGATCTAATATATGTATTCAGTTGTGATTTCAACCCTAAATATGGGTCCGAAGTAAAGTCAGGTTACTCAAGCATTAAAAAGGGAGAAAATATTAAGGAAATATTTATGTGCCACATGCCACGGCATGCAGTACAAGTGCCACAGTGCACAAATGATGATACATAAAGAAGAGGCCGCTTTATGTTGTACTCTGCGGCACGTGGCTAAATTTCTAGTTAAACTAGTCATTGTTTGTTCAAAAAATCATAGAGAAAGAGAAGGAGAAATGAAAGACCCGAGGTTTCTTTGTTCTTTAAAGGTTTAGGAGCATTTTAAAGCTAGAAAACATCTAAGGTAAGATTCTTAAACTCTTTTCCTCCTTTTCTCTTCCATTTTCTTGAATAGTTAAGTTAGGATTTGAGTTGAAATGATAATTTCAGTCTATATGAGTTATAAGTCTGAACTCATTGGCTAAAATAAAGATAATGTGAGTTATTTATAGTATTTGAACCTAGTGTTAATGGTTTTATAATTGTTGGTTAGTGAAAGCCATTAATGGATGACTTTTGCATTTATAAGGGTTATAGGAAGTGTTCAATGGCCATTAATGGTGGTTTAATGGTTCATTAATAACAATGTGAGCTTAAAACACTTAGTAGACCTAATGGGTATGATTGGGAGTGAATTTGTAAGTTTGGTAAAAGAAGATAGTGGAGTTAAGGGGTAAAAATTATTCGAATAAGGGTATGGATGGTTATCCTTATGATTGAATTGTAGATTGTAGATTAACTAAATTTGGCACCATTCAACTTGTGAAGAGCTTTAAAAGTTTGTATTTTGAGGGAAAACCTTTGACCTCTTAAAGGTTTGAGGTAATCGAGAAAATTTAATTTATACTTTTATGTGTTAGTTAATTTTATGTTAGGAAGATTGATTTAAAAACTCAATGGTGTTTGTAAACTTGTGTTTAATGCAAATTTGACAAGTTGATAAAGCATATATTGTGCAAGTATGCATATGGGTTGGTATGAATGAAATATATAGTTATACATACATGTTTGGTGACAAAGTAGAGCATGCATCTATTTGAAAAATCAATATCATGAGTTATTATGCATACTGAGATATGTAGAGTATGATAGAGTCAAATTATGAGTAAGATATGATTTGAGGAAAGTATATATGTACATATTATGTGTCGATTTATACATGGCATAGTCATTGATGGCGAGAGTTTTCTTATAAGGAGAGGAGTAAATGTGGTAAATCCGTATGATATTGACAGCTTACTTTTGAAATCAGAAGCTAGCCTTAGCACCAACCATTGAAATTGAGAAGTAGCTATTGTCTCATAGTTGATTAGGGATTGTTTTACTTATTCCTTAAGAGACTCAAATTTAACTAGTCTCCATCAGTTCAAAAGGAAGCTAGATTTGAGGTATGGCACCTCATGATTATTAGTATGAGGAAAAACCACAAATCACAAGTAAGTGAGGTAGCCTTGGCCAAGCAACTCCTCATGAGTGGAAAGCTTGGTTAGTCCAAGTTATGGATATAGCCACTTAATAGCCACCAGTTTTATGTCAAAAGTATCAAGAGGATATAAGGTTAGCAAAGATCATGTATTTCATATTCCAACCACATAGTTGTTATCATTGTGGTCTGATGTGTCTTGTTAGGGGCATATGATCATTATTATTGTGACCTCATGTATGCATTGTTGATATATGCAAAGATATATGTTTGTGTTTAACCACATGTTTGTTAGTTTTGTGACTGAGGCAACCTTTGAAAGATATGCATAAATTGTTTGCAAAAAGAATAATTATTGCCATTTGCATTTTTGATTAATTGATATACAATTGTATAGGCTAAATTGATCTTAATTACTGAGTGATTATACTCATCCCTTATTTTTCAATATTACAGAGAGTAGCTCTTCAGGCCAAGATCGGGGAAAATTATCGGAGGCTTAGGATTTTGTGTAAATCCTACTAGTAGACCTCTTAATTGTATTTATGTGTATTTTGAAATATTATTTTTCAACTAGGAGATCGTGTGATTCTTTTTGACTACTTGCACTTTTGTTTTTAATGATTATAATGTATTTTGTACCCTTGATTGTTTATGATAGGATGGAAAGCTCTATAGGGTTGAAATATTAGTGCAAGTAGGGTATTATGTAATCAAGTGACGTTGATGATTATTTTATGGATTTATGCAAAATTAGCTCCCCTTCATGTTTTATGAATCAAGGGGGTTGAACATGAAAATTATAATTTATTTATGATTGATTGATTATAGTGTATTGTATGAGTTCATAATAGTCAATTGTGTGTAGTTTAAGAGTTAGTGTAGGCTTTTGGCATTTGATTTGAAAAATAGACACCCTAGATATGTGCATTTATGGAAAAAGGAATGAGTTTTGAAAAGGGTGTCCAATTATTGATAAAAAAAAAAAAGATTTGGTTGTGAAATCAATGTCATTAGTTAGAGTTAGAAAAAAACTTTTTGTAGATACCAGATCACCTTAATCGAACGTTGAATGAAGAAATGGAATGCATTAGAATTTTGTTGCAAGTGCTGTCATTTGGAAGCTCTATGCTTTCATGAAGCATAAATGCAACACACCGCGGTGCATGGCACATAGATAACACACTGTGGCACATCTGTAATATGCCGCAACGCTCCTATATACTGCACTGTTTTGTTATTTTTAAATATTTTGCAAATGCATTAAGTTGCTTAGGATCTCATGCTTCTGCATATGTTCTAAACTCTAATTGATTGTTTAAAGAAAGTGTTTTGGTATATTTTTATTCATGAAAACTTAGGGTTCTCACTTTTGAAAATTATACCATTGGGTAATCTATGTATTATTTCTTGATTATCTTTATTTTTTGGAGATTAACTGTGTTTGTGTTTGAGTAGGAGTTTTACACCAAATATACCCTTGCACATTATTATCTTTCAACAATGACACGCTCTTTGGTTTTCTTTTCGGTGAGAAATTTTTTTTTTTTTTGGGTATGATGTGAAAATAAAATTTTTGTTTCCATCAAATGTATGCTCTCACGTCTTATATAAGCATGCTAAAATTCTCAGATTTTATTTATTTATTTAGTGCTAGGTGTTACTTGATTGACGTATTTTTTGTGCAAGAATGATCATTAACTAGAGAAGAAAACATAGATGTGTTAAACTATGTTTTCGATTTTGCCATTATATGTGGTTATTATTTATTTTCTTACATCAATTAAATTATTAATATTTCACCAACCATTTGATAATTTCTTTCTGGTGAATGTGTAAACTGCACATCCTCCTCTCACCTCAAATTCTCATTTTTAAACCTCCTGCAACTATATGGAATCTTTTTTAAGACTCCACCTCTCAAATAAAATATTATATTATAATGTTAATTATTGAAATTATAAAAGATTATTCTATTTTAATATTATTTTTAAATAAAATTTTCATAATTAATTAGGTATATAAGTTAAATAATATATTTTACTTGTTAAATAAAGTTGAAAAAATTTAATAACATTATATGCAACATTATCAATACTTTAATTTTCAAAAGTGTCTTTTATTGTAATTTCTGCATCTGAAATTAATTTCGACTAAATCATTCAAATATATTTAATTTTATTAAAATTAATTTTAAAAAAATAATATCTAAAATGATCACATTATAACAAAATTGATTATAATCAAAATTAATTATATTAATTAATTTTTCATAATTAATTATATTCAACTAACATCCAAATGAGTTTTAAGACATTGGGTAATTACTTGTAATCATGTTTTTAGGAAAACTAATTTCTATGTTGATTGGTTAACTCACACTAAGTTTTAAATAATAGTGAAATTGCCCTTAATTATTCAAATGAACTTGTTACATTTTCTATCAACTAATATTGTTCTAAAATATAGCATTGTAAAAAGTTAATAGCATAATTTTTTTCTTTTTTACAAGTACCTTTATTAATTGTATTGTAGAGACAGGTTATATAAAAAGAAAAAGAAAGTAAATGTAATTAAAATAGATATTGATTTTAATTAGATGGTAATCTTAGAAAGTAGTGATAATTTTTTACCCTTTAATAATCCAAACAACTTTTTAACTACATTTATAATCATTATAAAAATAATTAAAAGTACTTCATATTTTAGACTGAACTGAACAAATTGATACCATAGCTTTTTATTCCATACAGAGAGAGGGAGAGAGGGAGAGAAGAGTGACTATGTTTGTGTTTGCAATTACGCATAAGCTTTTTTTTTTTTTTTGTACAGGAAAATGTCAATTAAATAATTAATTATGTATTTTACTCTTCTTTGATAAATAACATAAGACTCAATTGAGTAGCTTGATATATGTTGGGATTAATTAACTTAATAATTTTTATTGACTAGTGATTGCATCCACTTCCCTGATTTAGTTTTTTAATTATAAAATATGTAGCTTCTCAGAACCCTGAAGTAATTCGTGATGAACAAATAGAGTTGTGGATTGAGGAACATCCGAAAAGATTGGATTTTTGAAACTTGAACGATATGATGTGATGAACAACTGACTGAAACCGAAGACATGGTCAGCCTAATTCAGAAAATCTCGAAAACCTGTAATTTTCTCTGTGAGTCTTTCTACCTCCTATGCCCATCGTCCTCTTACAGCTCCATTTCGTCCAACCCCTGGTATGCTCCACCAGTTCTCCGCAAAGACAACAATGACATTCTCGCAACCATCTCCGAAGCAATCCACAATTCTCAATCAGAGCCTCTGGATTCTTCTCTTCGAAGGATCCTTCCTTCACTCAGAGCCCATCATGTGATCAATCTCATTAACTTCAACCCTCGTTCTCTTCCCCCTTCTTCTCTCCTTTCATTCTTCAATTGGCTCGCCTCTCGCCCTCCTTTTCGCCACACTATTCAATCATATTGCACCATGGCTCACTTCCTCTGCATTCACCGTATGCTCCCTGAAGCTCAGTCTCTCATGCAATTCTTAGTGTCTTGGAAAGGCAAAGACTCTGCTTCTGCATTGTTTGATTCTGTTTTCCAAACTAGAGGTACCCACCAATCCAATCTTGTATTTGATGTTTTAATTCATGCTTATACGGATTCTGGATTTGTTGCGGATGCCATTCAATGTTTTCGGTTGGCTAGGACAAATAATGTTCAAGTTCCGCTTCGTTGTTGTGGTGATCTGCTTGAGAAGATGATGAAGTTGAAATCAACCGATTCTGCCTGGGCATTCTATTTGGAAATCTTGGATTCTGGATATCCTCCAAAAGCTTATAACTTCAATGTTTTGATGCATAAGTTTTGTAAGGAAGGTAATATTAGAGGTGCCCAATTGGTATTTGATGAAATGGGGAAGAGACGGGTGCGTCCTACGGTTGTTAGTTTCAACACTTTGATCAATGGTTATTGTAAATCAGGAAGCCTAAGTGAGGGGTTTAGGTTGAAGAGTGTCATGGAAAATGAAAAAATTTTTCCAGATGTTTTCACTTTCAGTTCTTTGATCAACGGGTTGTGTAAAGAGTGTAGGTTAGATGAGGCAAATCATCTGTTTGATGAAATGCTCAAGAGAGCTTTGGTTCCAAATTATGTTACTTTCACCACTTTAATTGATGGGCAATGCAAAGATGGGAAAGTTGATTTAGCCGTGAAAAATTTTCAGCTAATGCTAGCTAAGGGCATCAAACCTGACTTAGTCACATACAATGCAATGATCAATGGCCTTTGCAGGGTTGGAGATTTGAAAGAGGCTAGGAAGCTTCTTGATGAAATGAGTGCAAATGGTTTGAAGCCTGACAAGATCACTTACACGACGCTAATAGATGGATTTTGTAAGGATGGAGATCTTGAGCTGGCCTTGGATATCAAGCAAAGAATGATTGAAGAAGGGATTAAACTTGATGACGTAGCTTTCACTGTGCTTATTTCCGGACAATGTAAAGATGGAAGAGTTCATGATGCGGAAACAATGTTGAGGGAGATGTTGAATTCTGGTTTCAAACCTGATGATGCCACATTCACTATGGTTATTGATGGTTTCTGTAAGAAGGGTGACACTAAGATGGGATTTAAGCTACTCAGGGAAATGCAAAGGGATGGACATGTTCCAGGAGTTGTGACATATAATGTGCTTATGAATGGACTATGCAAGCAAGGTCAAATGAAAAATGCTCAAATGCTGTTAGATGCAATGCTTAATTTGGGGGTAGTTCCAGATGATATTACATTTAACATTTTGCTAGATGGTCATTGCAAGCATGGAAGTTCTAAAGAAATTGAGTTATTTAGAAGTGAGAAAGGACTTATTACAGATTATGCTTCTTATACTGCACTTCTTAGTGAAGCAAGTAAAGTATCCAAAGATCGCATAAAGAGATGATTGCTACTACATGTGTTATTTTCTGGAAATCCATACTTGGTGGATAACATGGCTTACAAGTAAACATCTCCAGAGTTAACTGAAGCATCTTAATCAGCTCTTGCATATTAGCCGTGCTGATAAAGGACATCTTCAAGATTTAGGTTTATTGCCCAAAAGAACTTTTCAGAAACCAAGAGAAGTCTCTGTCGTTTTACTAAACCCTTGTCATCCTTGAAGTTCTCTCTCAACTTATAACTGTAGATTGGAACTATATGCCTCTTCATGTTTCTGTAATGGATGATTTTTAAATGGAGGTTGAGGTCTTTTTTTTAGGCCCAATTCAACCTTATCATGAAAGCAGCTTGGCTTGTAATGTGAAAGTCGGAAGCCAAAGTAAAGTATACTGGCTTACAAATGAGATACTAAAAGCTACGATTCACATGCCCTCGTTAATTGTACAGCAAGGGCTCTGATGGCAATTACCTAATTGCTCACTGATATGCAAAGTTGACTAGATGCTTCTTCCAGTATCTTGGGTTCCTTTTAGACCTGTACCGAGTATTTTACCAAGTTCGACTAGTTTCCCTCAAGGAGTATCCTATGTGATGATGATGTCGATTCTCACGCCTTCAATGTGCATTTTTTTGCTTTCATGTGTGCGCTTTTTGGTTTATTACTTTTGGCCATAGGCGCAGAGAGGAATCAAACTTCATTGGTCTGTTGAAAAATAACACAGAACTGAATGACAATCTTCATTGCTCATTCTGAGTCATGTTGGGGATTCTATGGTAATCCTTATCGTAAGAGGTCTTGTCTTTGACCTTGCCTTGGATCTATCTATGTTTTTGTCTTTACCATTCTACTGTGATCATGAAGTTTTCTGTCAACATGAGAATGAGTTTCATCTCCAAGGGCATGTTTGGTAAAAAGGAGAGGATTTTCAAGAAAAGGAGGAGAGAGAAAATATCTCTTATGCGATTGGTAGGCCATGATAGTTTTTTTTTTTTTTTTTTATCAATTGGAAAGTTCATTTCCATTAATCATGGGAATGAGTGTTGCATCAATATAGCTCAGGAAATGCAACTTGCCTTAAAGTTAAGAACCAAAAAAAAAAAAGGTTACTCTTTATAGTTCAAAACTAATTATCTTTTTTTTATTAAGGATATATTATGTCATTGCATTTCTTTTCAATTTTTATGTTTTTTGTTTTCATTCATCCCAAACATGCATATTGGTTTCATGAAAGACCCATCACTTTTTTTTTTTTTTTCATTTCAATTCCCATTCCCATTTTCTTTTTCTTGAAGTCCTTTCTAATGTACCAAAAGAGATTCATATGGCAATCCTGCTAAATGATCACAGTCACAGATATGAATTATACATTTCTTATGATCTCCATGTACTGATAATTTTTACATGGTGATTAGGAGAATAATTGTAAGTCGAAGGGGTTACTTGATTAGGAAATTGCATATGCTCAAATAGGGGATTAGTAGATGTACAAACCTTCTATTGATTGAGTGATTCGCTTTCTGTGTCGTTTTTTTCTATTTTGAATCAAATGCGAAATCGAATAAAAAACAAGAGAAATTACATTGAAGTCCTAAAATTACTAGTGTTCATTTCATCATCAACCTCCCCCTAATGCAAGATGGTAGGTGATTAAGGGTTCAAAAATTGAATTGTAAATCATGAGCTACTTAGCTAGAATATCAGCACGTTTAACACACTCTCTCGGCAAAAAAAATAAGATGAAGAGTCCAGCTCCTTGCAATACTTGTTCTTGCTGTTTCAACGAGATCAAGGTAATTAAGCTGATAGCTTACACAATAAGATCAAACAAAGGTTTTTGAATCCATAATGTGGTAGAAGCAATCCACTTTGTTTTGTTGGGATAATCCCTCGTGTAGCGCTCAATCCACTGGAACAGAACTTGTTAGTCATCTGCCAATCGACATTGTTCTTGGATTATGGCTGCTTAAATATGAGATCTAAAATTCGAGTTTGTGTGAATGTAAAAAACACATTTGAAAAAGTTACTTATAATTAGACCTGACAACATGAAACAAAACAAAAGAACAGAACTTGTTTGTTATCTTGAATCCGGTTCCCTCTCATAACTCGCTTGTATCTGAAACCCACTTTCAGAGTTTTCATCAATGATTGATCTTGCTGAGCATTGAAGAATGTAGCCATAACATCTAATGAAGCTGCCGTGGTGCTTACTTTGTATAAAACTCTTCCCTGCATGGCAGCATCATTATTCAGGTTCCATGTTAACCAAGTTGTGCTTTCGATGCTGTTGAATGATTATCTATCTCCATTCCAATAAACCTCTCCTCATCCTCAGTACGGCTGTTTGCACTTTGTTCAACTGCAAGCCGAAGAAAGGACTTGGATCTTTTTCTGGGATTATTCAATGAAGTCCAGATCTTTCTCCATATTTTATTGCTAGTCTCCTGGGTACCTGTAGATTTTACAATCCAATTTTTTTTTCCTCGTCGCCTTCGTAATTTCTTCTCAAATTCTTTACTTTTTTACTCACACCCTGTTTTCTTCCTCGAATAATACGCAAGTTTCCTTTTCTATGTATTCCTATGATCCTATTTCTAAGTTGTTTTTAATATATTTTATCAAAATTAATAAAAACATTAAAGCTCATTAACCATATCTAAAAATTGAATAACTTTCTAATTTTACCCCTATTAAATATATATAATTTAATAATATATTTCTTCTTAGGGAAAAAGAAAAAAAACTGTGGTAAAAATTTAATAATATGGCTTATAAATAAGATTAAAAAAACTTTTTTCTCCACCTTATAAATAAAAATTACTCTTTTTCTTTAAAAATATAAGGCATTTTTTAAAAAATTAAATGTTTAAAATGTAAAGCATTTTTAGTCTTTTAAGGTGTAATCATTACATATTTTCAAAAGTGCCCATATTGATAGTGACTTTATATTTATTATAGGGTATTTAATAGAAATAAATATGAAAGGATAGGATTAGTTTAAAAGTAAGTAATTACTTTATTGGGGTAAGATTTAGTTAAAAATGTTTTACATTTTTTAACGGAAGGAATATATATTTAAAAAAACTCTCACAAATTCCTTCTTCTTTCTTTCTTGAATAATTACTTTGAAGTCCCTCATTAAAATTCTAATTACAAAAAAAACTTCACGGTATGCACTAATTACTCTCAAGTCGGATTGTATGACAAAAATGTGTAAGAACTACCACTAGGATATATTAAAAATACTAATATTAATATATATTAAAAATATAAAAACCAACAGTTATGTGGCTTTTGTAATAAAAACAACTTGGACATAATAAGATAAGGGGAACACAAGCCCCACTGTCACAAATTATGACAAAGACTTCACCATTCAAATACGTGCATAGATCATGGGCCTTCGTGATCACCAATTGATCCCATCCACATAAATATGTTCTAGTGGTGCTCCTTCCCTTCTTTTTATATTTTCTCACTCGTGTTCTCTCATCTCTCACACCACATTGATATTATCAGCCTTCAGCCAGCTTCCTTTCTTAATTAATCATCCGTATCAATGACAGTAGCAGCAGCAGATCTGACGAAGATCATCATGGCCTAAACTAGATTCGTCTTTCCTCTTCAGCCTCCCCTCTGCTTCTTTAAATATTGAAGTACTTTTGAGTTTTTAACCATATTGGTTAATGGTTACAGTTATATATTTATTTTCCTTACATTTTCTCCCCATATTTGGACTATTATATTTATAAAAAATAGTACATGACATGACGTGACGTGTAGTAATAATTTCTCCTCCTGCTTCATGAATGCATGCGTAAGAGGAGCAGAGCAGGGACAGTTCACGCTTCTTAAATCTGATTTTCTTTCAGCCGAGTCACTCCAAATCCGCCTATCACTCTCTTCTTTTTCAGTTTATAAAAATGGAGAGAGTAAACTTGAGTTGGAGAGAGTAAAGAACAGAGAAGGATTGAGAGATATTGAAGCGGATAATGAAGGATAGAAATGGCAGTTCAAGTACACAAGTAAGTGGCTACATAGAGTTAGTTCTGGTGGCTGATGTTGGCAATGGCCTTGAAGACTTTCCTGACCTTCCATGGGTCATGGCCTTAAGCTCTGCCATTGCCTACCTATGGAATCAAGAAAGTTCTAATGTAATTGCGCACCAACACTCTCAGCTACCAGAACTTACTCCATCCAGCCTCTGACTTGGTTCAAGATCCTCATGCTTAGTGATACTGACAAATGTTGAAAGCAGATGAGATTAGGTTGAGATGAAACTAAATACAAGACAATGCAATAGGTACCTGTAAGTACACATGCTTGCTATTTCAGGTTGTGGCACATCTGGATGAATTATGGCATTCCCTGGGTTCATGTTTGAATTTGCTTATCAAGCTTATTTCTTTTAATTTTCTCCAAAAAGAAGAAATGATGAAAAGCGTGTTTCTGATTATGAATGTAAACATCTTATTCCTGCTTATGGTTTATTTTAACATTTATAATATTATTTTTTGAATATCAAGCTCTTCTTTTTTCTTTTAAAGAGATAATGAGTAATTAAATATATGCCATGTACCCATAATATTTTGTTAACGTTAGAGGGAGTCACAGTGATTTACAAGTTCAAACTGCTAGCCTGCTAAAAGCTCACACGGCTAGAGGCCTGAAGATCTCTATGACCTCACAACCACTTAGATCTTCAAGATAATATCATATGCAATTGATATCGTACCCTCAACAATAATATTTTCAATTTTACACATTTCATTTTGGTTTCCAATACCGTTGTAACCCAAAAAAAAAAAAGTAACTGTAAAAAAAATCACCAGATCAAGTCAAATTAATAATTAAAATAATAACAATTAAGCATCTTGTAAGAAAGTTAATTTTTTTTTTAAATATTTTCAGTTTTGAAACATATGATAATGAGTACTGAATTTGAAAAATTAAACTATGATAAGATCTTGATTTGATATTTTATTTATTTATTTTGAGAGAATGATAGTTGAATTCCAATGGAGAGAATTAATGAAAATTAGGTCTTGATGCAATTTTTAAAAGAAGTTATCAATTTAAACATTTATAAATTTTGGAGTGCTGATTGTAAATAACATATTTAAATTCTATTTATAATTTTAAATTTGTAATTGGGATTTTGTTTGCAACTATTTAAAATAAAATTTACAATTCATTTTTAAAAAAATTTGTCCAGCAATAATTTATTTAATTTATTTTGATTTTATTATTTTCTCTAATTTTTTGCATGAGGTCCTTACTGCTCATTCTCGCTTACTATTTCATAGATTTATCACTGAAGAAATGTATAAACATATCGCACA